TTGTGTGTCACTCGAGTCGCGTCACAGCATTTAAATCTAATCAATCCAATCACTGCAGCATGTCCACCAATGTTTTGGAATGAAATTGTAAGCAAACAGATATTAAAAGTAAAAAAAGTGAAGTCTGGCACTTAACTTTGCTCGCGACTCGAGAATGGCTGAACGGAAAAGACTCCTCCTCCTCCAGCTGCTGCCGCCGCACCACAGTGGGGCCCGTCTCCATCATCCACTCAGAGTACCACTGGTAAGCGCGCACACAGACTTTGTAGCTTGTCCGGTCAGTTAAAAATAGTAATTGTGAAATCCTTTCTTGTAATCGGAAGCATACAAGCTAGTTAGCTTGAAAAGTAAATAAAGTTTCAGACGTGCTGCATGATGATGTGTTCAGATTGGCTCAGTAAAACGACAATTAGGTTATCATGATGCGTTCAAGTATAACGTAAAGAAAACAGGAAATTTAGTTTTTGGCGAGAAACATGAGTAATACAGTTGTATATTGCTCTAACTATTTTAGAATATATAATTAAACTACTGATGCCAACATTTATTAAAAATTACATTTAATTTAAAATACAATTATTTATTTGTTAAATATTTTCCTAATCACCAAAAACATGATGAAAAGTGACAGTAGACAATACATTAACCAACAATTGTGAAAATATATTCTAGTTAGTTTTATGTCATTTCGAAGTGGCCTATTACATTAGCCATGTTTATTGAAGGCTAGAAACCTTTTTGTTATGCTCACTTGTTAAGCAATAAAAGCAATACCAGTTCTGTTAAAAAAATTTTGTTGCATCGTCTTTCCACCAAATAACAGAAAAGTATAGATAGTGGTATCGATAAAGACTCGAATCGATAAGGAGTATCGATAAAGGTATCGATATCAATAAATATTAACGATCCCCATCCCTAATTGCGGCAGCAGCAGCTTCCAATGTAGCGCTCCATTGAAAGTTAAAAGTTCTCTTTTCTGTTGCTATTGTTCAATAAAAGTAAGTTTTAATATCATTTGAGGCGAGAATATTATACTTTAAAGTGTTACTATATAGACCGCTGGCTCTGATGGCGATTTTTCACTCAGCTTTGTAATCAGATTTGAAAGGATTAGACTGGGGGTTTTCGTTGAAACGTGAGCAGGAAGAGGCTCTACGCTCATTCATTTTTAATAAGGGCGTATTCGCCCTTTTACCAACAGGCTGTTTGTTTACACTCCCCCACCAGCTTACTGTCGCGCTTACTACGTCACAGTCAGTTGTGCTCATTGGTCAGAGCGTTGGCCAATAGGCACAGACATGGTTTGAAAAACAACGGGTTCTTCTCATCAACAATCTTCCGATGTCTCATTCATCGGGGCCAGCCTAAATTACATATTTAATCTCACATTTAGTCTGGTTTATCAGGCTACCAACTTATTGCATTCCAGTCAATTCTTCACAATATACATTTTGCAATATTTTGCAGCCATACATTTGACAAACCTGTAGCATTTATATAAACATTTTCTTTGAGCTGAGAATTTTGTTCAGTCAACAAGCTTTGTGAAAATAAAGTTGCCTTACACTCAGTCAGATTTAAGAATTTGAAGATCTGACTAGGGCTGGGCGATATGATCTCAAATCACCATCACCATAAATTAGGCAGTTTTACCTCTAACGATAAATGCATGATAAATGCTCTCGCTCTTCTATCAGAAATAAAGACATGTGCAGGAAAAACAACTGATCTATTTATAATCTATCTGTTGAATATATCACATTACATATTACTTTCAATTAAATATTAAAGTTTCAGATTCAAACATTCAACAATGTTTAATTGAACAGGAGAAAAATGTTACCTCTCTTGCAAACATTTCTCCGCAAAGGTAATGGAGCCTTTTGCACATCTTTGAACTCAACAGGGTGGTTGTGCTGTAGGTGGTGGAGGTTGGATGTTTTACTTTGGGTAGTTCCGACAGTTTTTAGACAAACTTTGCATTTCGTGTTCTTTTGCTCGACATCTATGGTGTGATGTTGGTGCCACCGAACTGAGCGTGCGGAGAGAACAATTTAAATATCATTTAAACTTGCACACCCTCGCTCAAAATCAGTCTGCCTCGCGATCAATTCTGTCAACGCGCTCTCGACTTTTCTCTGTGTGCTCAGCTCTTTTTGATATAATTTTGTCTACAGCTGTTTTAGCAATTCTTCATTGGGCTCATCCACCATTCTCTTTGCTTACGTTTCTGACTGGACCGGTGGAGTCGCGTGATTTGACACATACTACAGTGTCTTAAAGGGGAAGGAAATACCAGCCACTACTGCACACAGGCAAATAAGCTAAATTACGTCTTATTTCTTTTACCGACATTGGAAAATTGGCGCCAACTATGGTTGTGAATGACTGTAACGATATATATTCAGTCTATTGCCCAGGCCTAGATCTGACCTTAGGACCCCAACTTCTCTTAATGTGCAGTGCTGAAAGCAAAACACACTTGCCCCCCTACAGGTGGGGATAGTTGGCATAGGGAATATTTTTCTATCAATATTTTCATATTCAACTGAGCTGACGGGTGGCTGTTGCATACATTATTGCCCATTGAATTTCCATAATTGTACCAGCCAGTCTTTTCCTCACTGACACCCAGACCCGCAGTATGTGTTTGATCAAAGCTTTTTACAAATTTTTAGTCTTTTCCTTCGTCTGTCTTACAAGAAAAGACAGACGGACATAGTTCTGTTCTATTTGGACAATGCCAGACTCTTACTTACTATTAATCCATTATGTCACTGCTGTCAGCTGAGCTACCTAGTCGTAGTATTTCAGGTCTGGGAGACTTGCCCTCTCTTAATTTTTTAGGTGAGCACAGCATTTCACTCTAACTCTTGCACTCTAACCTTTAAACATTTCATATTGTCAGCTTGAAAATATTTAAATTCAGTCCAGAATGATTACAGTTTTTCTAGCCGTTTACTTTTTAACTGTTTCTTTTTTCTACCTAATATGCAGGATTCAGCTGAACAAAATAAAACTGCTAAAGGCTTCTTCACTTGATCTGTACCATAGCATTACAGGGTTCCCGTCTGGTCTTAAAAATCTACATTTAAATTTAATATATAATAAAAATTCTTTAAAAATATGACATTTGATGTCATAGGTCCTAAATTTTATGCAGTTCCCCCAGGGTATTTTAAGCTTAGTGTTTATTAGAGACACGTAATTTGAAATCGACATAAGATGTACAGAAAAGTTCCCCGGCTAGACAGCTAAGAAGCTAGCAGCCATTAGGTCCACGCCAGATGAACAGCTACACAGGCTTCACTTTGATCTGCACAGGACCTTACAAGCAGCCAAACTAAGAACAATGGACATTAACATTATTGTACTTTGTGTACCAGGACAACAGAGGGAAGGTGAGGCAGCATTCTGGAGCTTGTGAAGGATTACTGGGAAATCGGTGCAAAAAAACTGTCAGAGAACCAGAACCCAGAAGAGGCTGCCAGCTTTGTAAACATCTTTAATTTTGTAAATAACAAACCACAACAACAAAAAAAGTATTTCTCGGGCTATATATTAAAATGGCTCTTTTAAAAGCCACCTAAAAAGAATCTTAAGAGAATCCCCTTTTGATCCCTGGTAAACATTACTTTCTCCATCTTCAACTTTGATTGAAATAAAAGCTTGTCTCCGCTGCCTCCTTCACTGCACTAGAGCTACACTGTAGCTCACTACAGCCACATCTAGTCCCTCACTGGATTTCATGGTGTTAAAAAAAAAAAAAAAAAAAAGTTCAGATTTTTCTCCTGTGAATTTTGCCTTACTTCATTCGCAGGTAATTTGCAGTGATCAAATTTAAATTAATCCGCCAGAATGGTGCCATTCGCTTCGCTAACTTTGCACCATTCAGTTGTGCTTCTTTCCAGAGCAGCCCTCCTACATAAAAATGACATGGGAATCCTTCGCCCTGTTGCAAAATTTGTGTTCGATGTGAACTCGCCTTCAGACAATTTACTTGTCCTGTGTTTATACACACTTCAACACAGAAATGTGTGTAGGTTGTAACTGACATTCTGTCTAATTTAAATAAATACATTTTCTTCAGTCCCAGGAATGCTCTTTTTGTACCTATGTGCCCATGAAATGGATATTAGATGTTATTCTAAGTTGTCTTAACCTCTTAATATCCACCTCATTTCTGGGAAATTCGCCTATTTTGCATACCCAAATGGAAAAGCAAATAACTGAGGAGCTGTAAGCCCAAATTACATGTGTGATATGTTATTTGAAAGCTAACACCTTGTAGTTTCTGAATATATACATGAGAATTAGGTGAGTAAAACACCGAAGCTGCATCAAGCCCAAGCTGCATCATTTCAAACATGACTAAAAGTTGTTTTATTTTAATTCTCGAAAATAAGTCTTTTTTGAACAGCAGTAATAAAAAGACATGCTTGCTTGTTGTGGCTGCTTTGTCATGCTACATTTCGACATGCTGCTATAATTGTGCTTTGGTGCTTGCTGTGTCCATAAAAATGAATTAGGTGGTTGAATTGTGGAGACTCTAAGCTTTATATTGCTTTATATTATATTGGTAAAAAGTTTACCAGTGTAATCTTCATTCATTCTGAGTTATTATTTGTAAACGCATTAAAACGGGTCGTCAGTGGGGGTTTTACATGGTTCTACATGGGTTTTGAGAGGTTAAATAGTCTTAAACTTAACTTTTGGAAACTTGTAGGAACCCTGTATTAGTTAAGAAGACATTGCTAACAGACTCTGTAAATCCTTGTACACCTGAAGAACTATGCCCCTTTAAAGAAAAACGGGATGAGAAGCTTAAAGTGCAGACCTTCATACTCATGTGCTTAAAAACAATTTACCATGCAAAGATACAGGATGAAAAAGTATATACTGCATTGAGGGACTGACTTTACCAAGACGAGAGAAACTGTGGTGTTTCATTATTTGTAGAACCTGATTATGACTAAATGTATTGGTTTGTGTCTTTCAGGTGCCCACATTCTGCTGCAGAGGAGAGTGCACCAGGATGAGGAGACTGTAGGCACCCGCCATAGTATGGCCGCGTCCCGTTCTTCGCGTGTCACAAGGTCATCAGTGGGGCTCAATGGATTGGATGAAAAGTTTTGTGGTCGAACCCTCAGAAACCGCAGCATCGCCCAGCCAGAGGAGACCTCAGTATCTCCACAACCTAGGGCACGCTCCCCCAAAAAGAAGCTGGAGTCAAGGCAGGAGTCAAAGCAAGATACCAGTAGGGATGCCAAGCAGGAGTCAAAGCAGGATGCAAGGAAAGACTCAAAGCAGGATACCAGTAAGGACTCCAAGCACCAGTCAAAGCACGATACCAATAAGAGTTCAAAACAAGAGTCAAAGCAAGATACCTGTAAGGAGTCTAAACATGAGTCAAATCAGTGTTCCAATAAGGTCTCAAAAGAAGAGTCAAAGCAGGAAACCAGTAAGAAATCCAAGCAAGAGTCAAAGCAGGAAAACAGTAAGGACTTCAAACAAAAGTCTGATGGTAATGAGGAGCCAAGAGAGGAGGCTGTCGAGGAATCTGTGCCGGAGGCCATCAAGGGGTCTGTCGAAGAGTCTATGCCAGAGGCCGTTGAGGAGTCTGTGCCGGAGGTTGTTCATTCTGTGCCGGACGCCGTCGAAGAGTCTATGCCGGATGCCCTCGAGGAGTCAAAGCAGGAGTCAAATGACAATGAACAAGAAATCCAGCAGGACATTGGTGAGGTACTTAATCAAGACTTTGAACTGGAGTCAAAGCTTGCTGCTACACAAGACGCAAGGTCACAAGAGAGTTCCTTGCAAAATAGCCAACAGGACATTTTGAAGAAAAACGAAGCTGACTACTGTGTCGCTGCACTTGATGCTGATCCTTCAACCATCTCTAGGAAGCGAGGTGTGTCCTGCTTGGAAAAAGACCTCAGCCAAGAGAAATCTGAGAACTGTGACACAGGGAAGGAGTGGCAGGATACCTTGCGTCAAATCAAAAGGGCCAAGCAACGCTCTCTCTCTGGAGAGTTTCTGGGACAGGAAGAGGACCAAGGATACCAGAATAGCCAAAGTCAAGTTTCTGTCTCGGAGCCTTGTAAGGATGTAATTTGTGAGAACTCAGCAAGCCAAAACTCTTTTAATACATCATCTGCCTCTTCTATCCTCAGTGTTCAGGAGGGTGAGGTAATTTCACGACAGGTGAAGGAAGATCATTGCATGGATAGTGATGGGCCGGTTTTGCCACATAATTTCCTTAAAGCCTCTAATGGACTCAGAGAAACTGATGCAGAGGAAACTAGCACAGTCACTGAACATCCCAGTGCAACACCCACCTCTGCCACCAGCCTCACATCTCTGCTAAACGGCAGTCAGATGGAGGCTCCCTCATCCCCTGACCCCTCTGTGCCTTTTAGAAACTCTGTACCTAGGCAAATAGAGGTCTCTGACTTAGGAGTATCACCAGCCTCATCTGCACTAACATTCACGGGTGCTGCAGAAGATCCTCTTCCTGAGTTGATAGTAGTTAAAGAGCAGGAGATGGAAGTCGATGTGGTGGGAGACCCTTTGTGTCTGGCTCATGAGGAGCAGGTTACTGTGAGCGAAGGGGATTCAAACGGGCGGTCACCAGCGCAGGAACCTGCTGCTTCCATCTCATGCTCTAATGCGAACATAAACTGTAGTGCAGTAAACAACAGCAACTCAGGAGAAACTACACCCACAGTCACAACACCCCCTTCCCCCACAGACCCAGATTGTAACGCCTCAATGTCCAGCATGCTCCCTTCTTTCACAGATCTCTACGAACACAGATATACCCTACGGACTTCACCTAGGAGAGTTGTGTCTGGTGGGAAAACATCTCCCTCCAAACCCAGTTCTCCTCTGACAGACAATGGTCCCTTTAGGGAAGAGGGGGAGGTGGAGAAAGAATGTCCAACTTTAGAGGAACGTTCTTGTTCAGACTCAATTGGTCCCTCGAGCGAGGAGCCAGTTTCTGTGAATCCTGGTTGCAAAGTAGGTGATAAAGACAGTGGCTTTGCTGAGGACAAAGAAATAGAAAATCGCAAGGAGCTAACACAGAGCCAGGCTGTTGAGGAAGAAGAAGAAGAAGAGGAGGAGGAGGAGGAGGAGGAAGAGGAAGAGGAGGAACCAGACGTGTATTACTTTGAGTCAGACCACCTGGCTCTTAAACACAAAGAGTATGTGAGAGTCCTAAAGGAATATTGGCTGATGTGTTACTAATGCAGCTATCACATGTGCTCGTCATACTATTTTAGTTTCACGCTATTGAATTTTAAGTTAAATGTTTTTTTTCTTCTACTCTAAAACAAATACCAGATGTAGAGGAATATACATCAAAGGCAGCATGTTAAGTTTTTATCTGTAGTTGATAGGACTGCACAACACCAGAGAGAACAGAGGTTGGGTTCTGATTGTTGAATATTGCAATGGCCATATCATTTACTGCTTGCTGACATTTTCTTCCCTACTTGTTTCTTTTAAATTATTGTGGTTTCTCCACCAATCACAGTGGTCTTTTTTTTTTATCTACTTTCATAGAGCTTTATCAATTGTGGGCATAACCCTCAGCAGACACTGTGCTTGAGCTTTATGCACTGCAAAAATGGCTATCTAAAATAAAAAAACAACTAAATCCATTATCTGACAATGCAGCAAGATAATTTTACGCGACATGATTGATTTAAGATTTTAAATGTAGAAATGAGCATGTTGATCACTTGAAATTACAAATATGTCTTAAAACCAAATAAATTATCTAACGCTTCTAAATATTATGTTTATTTTTATCTTTGTAGGAACTAAATGTTTTGCAGTTAGGCAAAGTCAGTTAATTTAAATTTAATTAACAACTCGACTCAACTTTGATTCAGATTATGGTAACCACCTCAGGTAGTCTGCTTCAGAAGCAATGAAAAAAAGCTAATTCGATTGCATTTATAACAGTCTTTTTTTTTTTTTTTAAGAAAAGAGTTACAGCAAGTTATTCAGTCTGTGTTGAATATCTGAAAACCTTTTTTTAACTGGGACATAACCTGGGACTGACTGCTGTTAGATGTCACTGTGTACTTCTTTATTGTGCTGGTGGAGATTCCCAGTCATCCAGGTCATAATCATTCCAAAAAACAATCCACTGGACTTTGTGGACTGGACTTTGGACTTTGAAACAAAGTCCAGTGGATTGTTTTTAATTTTCTTTTTTTTGGAAAACCCTTTAATGTGTTACTGAATAAATGCAGATAAGGAAGCCTGGTGTGAATTTAGGTTGGTATAAAGAGATTACACTCTATTAGCAAATGTTCTGTTCAGCATTCAGCGAGGTGGCTGCATCAGTTGTGAATTCGCCAACCTTTAACACTTTTTTTTTTTTTTTTTTGCTGCTTTTCTATCATCGCATTCTCCCCAACTTTCTCTGGGAGCTTTAGTATCTTGCTCAACAAGATGCTAAATAAAGCTCTGGTTTCAGGTGTGCATCAAGAGCAGGAAGTCCTTTCAATCGGGCTTATACATTACTGACACGCTGGGGTTGAATGCATCATAACTAAATATAGTAACGTACCAAACAGTACCTAAAACAAGCATTTGTCATATTGCAGTTGGAGGTATTCCTGTGGCATTAGTTTATAGTCACTGGCTAGTTCAAATGAGACCAATTTGGATGATGTCCAAAGGTTTTTAGCCGTCTGTTTTTTTTTTTTTCTTCTTCTTTTTTTTAAGCCACGGAAAGATTTTAAATTAACAAGCAAATTTTTATACTTGGTCAATATAACCTGGGTAAATACCAAAAGTTCTCAAATTATTTTATTTATTAAGGGTGAAAGATCAAGAGATTGCTATAACTAGCGTTTAATTTTTAACATCACCTTGATGAGCTTTTGCCATCTGTCTTTAGTAGATTTTAGTATATTTTTTACTTCAGCCATGGAGGGTTTTATAATGAACGGCATGTTTTAGGTCCTACTGTGGTATCTGTGTTGGATTTAAGTCCAGAGTTGGGCTAGGCCACTGTATTTTGAGAACTGTAATCTATCAGAGGTTTTGAGTTGTTTAATATATCCAGATGTCAGTGATAAATCTGCTGTGGGCTTGGCCAGTTTAATGAAGCATTGCTTTCTAAAAGAAAGTCCACTTAAATCACAGCTTATCCAGGATATAATCAGGGAGGAAAGTGTTTATTCACTCAGGCATTAGTTGGTCTGAATAGATTCTTCCTTTATTATAAAACCTTTATTTTCAAACTGCTTTTTAGATTTACTCTGTTTTTCTCCATTATTACCATATTTCAAATGATCTAAAAAATGTTTTAGTTTGACAAAATAAAAGGAAATCCGTAAGAGGAGAAAAATGTCTTGTTACTTTTCTGCATAGTTCTCCAAGTATCATATATTACCAGATTATTATAATAAAGATAACTCTAGGTTTAGTTTACACAAAACAAAGTTTTGTGCTTAAAAACAAATGAAATGAGGGGTAGAATAAACTAATGGGCAGCTTTGACATGCAAATATAGAGTACAATTAAGTTTGAAGCCAACCTGGTTTAGTTAAATCTAGAGAATTTGTTAGTAAGCTATGCCTTTGTTTGTTTTCTTTTTCAAACCCTTTTCATTTTTGTTCTTTTGTTTTGATGACAGAATGTGTAAATAGCCAACAAAGCCTGACCAAATTAAATTTCAAATTGGCTTTGTTGATTGCTTCTGTTATCTTAGGAAGAGGATTTATTATTTGGAGGATGTTTTTGTCAGTATTGTAGACAGTTTTGTTATTTGAACAACATTCAATGTTTATGCTGCCACTCTGGTCCCAGATTGGGATCCTTCCTAACTTCTCTGTGACAGGTCTGCTAATTTATTAGCTCTGTTTTGCGTTTTAGACTAGTTCTTGTAAACATCGCAGATATAAATAGTGGTGATAGATTAGGATTTCACTGGTCTCATTTTGCAAGGTAATTTGATCACGCTTTAGTGCCCCTGCTGAATGAGGAGGATTTTTAAGGCTTGGATCAATGCAGCCTGGAGTCAGTTTTCTGCATGCATGATGTGGTATTTTAGAACTGCTAAATAAACAAGAATGTCACAGATTGGGGTTTGTTGGAACAAGCAGCATCTATTAAGAGCTCTGCCATGCCTTGCTGTCCTACAAATCAGTGATCAAAGATTAAAGTGGAAAAATGTGTGTTGAAGCCAGTTTGTCATCCTGCAGCGTTGTTTGTTATCAGACCACAGGCCCAGTAGGTGGCAATAAAACACCAGACTTGTCCCTGGACATTTTTTTTTTTGGGGGGGGGTGGGGGTCCAGCTGGCTGAAAGACCCAGCCAAGTTCCCCTTAACAGATGCTGAGTCAAGCAGTGATCATACTTTTAATCAGTCTGTAGCACAAAAAAAGAAAATAAAAAAATCTCTGCCTTAAAACCCTCTGTATAATTCTAAGGAACAACCTTACTTAACACCCCTGTCATACATAAATAAGAAATCCTTTTAAAATTGATTTTTACTCCTGTTGCATTCTGTAAATTGATGCCCTCTTGCTATTTGAGCAACGTTAGCTTCTAGTTGTATACAGTTGGATGATAGGCCTGCCCACTCTGAAGGATTTGAGTCAGTACCACACTCAGTCACTGACGCTTCAGTTTGCTGCTCTTCTCTTACCCCAGAGGCTGCAAGGAGAAAGGTCAGACTTGCAGCACTGAAGGCTGCTTAAGTGCGCACAACTTAAAGAGTCTGGAATGCAAAGTGGCATGTGTACAGTACAAGTGCTGTGATTCTGTTTCCTTCCTATAGTTGGTAATCCTGAGTAAAATGACATTTAGGTTATATTTGTATCGATATATTCCTTGCAGAGAAGTGGAAAATGTCAGGAAATCGGCTTCCTTTCAAACGTCTTTTAAGTTCTATGCTGTGTCGTACATGGAATTTGGTCTTAAAGGTTAATGCACTGCTACATCGCAAGCCTCCGGTTAACTAATGTAATCAGTTCCGACATTGCTCTCCAGTCTAACCTTGTTTCCCTGTCTGCCAGTTATCAGAGACTTCTGCAGACCATCGTGGTACTCGAGGCTCAGCGCGCTCAGGCCATTCTTGACCTGGAGACGTTAGCGCGTCACCAGAGAGAGGCTCTCACTGATCCTATCAGCTTTGTGGAGCAGCTGCAGAAACAGGTAAACATAATACACAGCTTTGCAGAGTACCCCTTATCTTCCAATGGATTGATATTTTAAAGATTTAAAACAACCAATATTAGGGTATATTAGCTGGAGTTTTATTGAACACATTGTGGAGTGCAAATCATACAAAAGGTAATTTGGGAGATTATAAACAGTGATAGAGTTAATAAAAATTAAAGCTTTAGTCCTCAAAAACTTAAATATTTTAATATCTTGGGTCTTAAGTTTAAGCTCTTAAAGGTATAGTCGAGGATTTTCTTTTTCCTTGTGGATCATCAAAATAAGTGGTCCTCCTAATTGTCAAACATTCTGGTGATATGTTTACATAAGGCCGTGCTACGTGCTCGTCCCTATTTTCACTTATCGGTAGTGAGTTTGACATAGTGGAGAAATTGCAAATCTTCTTTTGGAAAGTAAGCTTGTATGAGCGATGAAAACAGCAACTTTTAAACAGAGCGTGCACAAGGGGAAATTAGCTTATGTATGCTCTTGCACACGTTTAATAGGCGTTCCCTCTCTGGAGCGGCCTTAGATATGCCTTTCCTCAGCTTGTTCAATGGACTGTTTTATTATTGTTTATCTTTATTATTTTGCAGGATTATTGGCCGGGGCTCCATAATTTTTTTAGTGATGTAGTTATGGCTCAGGACTGGAATCTCAAAAATTGTGAGGTGGATTTCTGCAGAGTTGTCAGGAATAAATCTAATCTCCCAATATACAGCTGGATGTGCAGCACAGACTAAGATATAGCCAAACAGTTCTGCAGCTCTAGCCTCCCAAAAAGGTAGTCCTACTGTTTGTTCACTGAGTACAATTCATGTTAAACTTTTTATAATGATGTAAACAATTTTGTATAATTTTTCTTCCTTATCAGTGATCTAGTACCTTGTCTTTGTCTATCATGTAAATAATAATAATTAAAAAAAACACTGAGTTAAAGATATGTAATGTGAACATACTCAAGGGTTTTGAATTCTTCTACAGGGCATGACATGGTGACAATTACAGCCATAAAAACGGGAATGGCCAGTGTTAGAAAGCAGATAAATGTGGTTCATTGTGCGACTTTATTATGCTGACTTTTTTTTCTTTTTTGCCAATGCTGAAGCCGATGTTAATTGTTTTTTGATTTCTTTCTGTCTCTCTGTCCTTGGAACCTTCAGGCAAATCTGGGTTTGCCGTGTCCCCAGCGGGTTGTGCAGCTCCCTGACATCGCCTGGGAGCAGTACACCTCAGGGCTGGGGGAGTTCGAGAGGGAGTTCTGCGACAAGAAACGAAAAACCCGACAGCTGAAGTTGATCTTTGATAAAGGTGCGCCTGAATTTTAGAATTCATTTTTCTAAGATTGATAGTTTTAAATATAAAGGTTGATCTAATTTGTTGCTTTGCTACAGGTTTGCCTCTGAGACCAAAAAGTCCTGTTGAACCCAAGAAAGAAGGTGAATCCTCAACCGTGTACTCCTCTCTTCCTACAAGTGACGCCCTTGAGAACAGCAGGCAAGCACAGGTACAGAGTTTCCTCAGTCTGGAGAAGTAAGGTCCTTCCTCTCTTGTTTTATTTGCTCTAGCCTAACTTCTTGTCATTCCTTATCTCTCTCCTTTCTTCCTCTTTTGTTCTTTCTATCCTTCCTTTCTTCATTGTTTTTTTTTCCCTTACTTGTCCCCTGTTCCTGGTCTCCTTCCTTCCTTCCAAATATGTCTCCTCTGAGCCTTATGTGTTTTTTGCCCTTCTTTGTTTCTTCACTTTTCTTGCTTTCTTTCTTTTATTCTTCCAATCTTTAATTTTTCCATTTCACCATCTTTTTGAAGGTCTCATGTGTAAATTCTTACCACTGTAATTTTGTTGGTCATGAATTCTAGATCAGGATAAGTATTTTTTTAACATGGATTAAAAGGGTTGAGGAAACTAAAGCATTTATTTTATAGAAGTCAGGAACTTTGAATCAGTTTTCTGTTCATGTTTTTCTAGAACATCATTAGTGCAGATGCAGTGGCAGCAGTTTCTATCTCTGGCTGATGACTCACCAATCTCACATAAGTTGTCTCGCAAATCAGCTGGTTATTACCATTTTACTCCTCTGAGCTCTTCTCGCTCATTCTTACTGCTTTGCTCAGATAAGCTTCAAGGAAATAAGCAATACCTATGGAAATGTGTTTTGCAAACCTCTTTTATTTGTTATGGTGGTGTGTGTATGTGCTCTCCCACAATCATACCTGCAGTAGGGTTTTACTTTTAATTGATTGTTTGAATAACAAGGTGCAGCGCAGCCTGCTCCAAGCTAACTCACGATTATGTCTGCTGCTCTTTTTGTTTATTTTGTGCCAGCACATTTGCTTTCCCCTGGATGACATCCTCTGAATAGTAAAAGGATTTTGTCAGTCAAAGGGAGCTGCTTTTTTTCCCCGCATCCTCCCAGTGACACGTCTCAAGCCACGTCTGACAGCCAGCCTTTCTTTGTCAAACTGAAGGACTCTGAATGCCTGGCAGTCGTATGTTCAGATCCTTTCAGGATGACAGCGCATGCTTTATTTTTGTCTTGTCAGTCTATTAACATGCCTGTCACTGTGTGTTGTTGACAGATGATCAGGGGAAGGATTTGTCACCCAAATAAGCCTGACACCTTTAACCAGCTGTGGACGGTTGAGGAACAGGTTGGTTGAAGGATTTAAAGACCATCTACTCCTTTATTGTTATAATTTTTCTTTGTATTCACTTAAGAACTTGTTTCAATTTGGTGCCTTATAATTTTAAATACATATTTTTTTTATTCTTTGTAGTTTTTGTAAAAAACTCAATTGATTCTTTGCATGATTTCTGCATGTTTTTTAACATTTACAACGATACAGTGCAGTATTCATCTGCACTCTTTTCTTTAACAAAATGGCTCAAGCTCAGCTGGACCACATGAGGAAGTACATCTGGCTACAGCAATGTTCCAGTTTAATCACCTCTTCTAAATTAAATATTATGGAGACTCCCAGTATGGGGCCCTGGCCCCATTTTGGGAATTGATGCAATATTTCACTACTTTTTATGTGTATCAACCTAATACTCCTAATTTAGAATTTTGAAAACCAGGCACCTAGTTTAATATCTTTGTAGAAATGTGATCCTTTGAGTTATTTGAATTCATTATATTATGTATTAAATTAATAAGTTGCACATAAATATACAAACACGATGATATCACTACTGGGGAACAAATGAAGAGGGATTGCTGTTATTATAGAAGTGTTTCAATTTTGGCCGATGCGATTGGCTCATTTTTCCTTTTTGGACAGAAATATTGGATATTAGTTATTTTTGGCAACCCCTATCTTAAGAGAATTAAAAAACAGAAATATTTTTTGTGATGGAAGAATAACGTCTAAGCCTGGCTCTGCAGAACAGGCACAGACCAAATATGTGAAGAGCTTTCACTCTGTGCATAGAAATAATTTAAAGAGCTATAAAAAGGTTCCCAAAAACGAGAGCTGCCGCCTACACCTATTAGGTGTTTAGGACTTTGCTTTGTATCCTTGCTTTATAGTTGGAATTTAATTGGAACAGAAATTTTCCACACACTAAGCAGTGTGAACACAATAAATGAAGGTACAAAAATATAAAAATTCAACAGCAAAACTCCAATGTACAAAAAGCTCCTATCAAAAGAAATGCATGCTAATATATTTATTCTTTAAACAATGAGTCATGATTTCCCTCACGCTAGCAGATGATTGTTGCTTCACATTTTTGCCAATAGACCCAAATAAAATCCCCACAAATGCATTTCATTCCCAGTGAGCCAAAACCCAGAGCCCATTTTACACTTATAAATTAATCGTTTTGTTAAAGGGAAGTTGCACTACAGGCGAAGAGTTTTACAGCTTCTTCCAATATTGTCTTATAATGCCTTCCTTTGGAAGTCTGTATGGATTTTTGAATGTATTTGGTTGGTGATCAGACTTATTTATTTTGATATGCACCTTTTTACAATGAAGTTGCTGGACTGAATAAAAGGTAGTTGAGCAAAAGCTCAACTTTGGGGTTGAGAAGATTAGCGTGTTTCACAAATTAAGCGTTAAACTCCCTGTAAAGTTGAAGAACACAAAGTTAGAGCAAGAAAACCCTTAATCCTTGTAATGCGTTCCAATTAGTGTTTCTTAATTTAATATTCATGTCAATTAATTTAGCAAATTATACCTGCAATCCTTTTTGGTCAAATTTGAATGCCCTTCCAGATATTGTCCTGCAGCATTTTGCTCCTAAAATTGGCTCTACAAGCCTCTTAATCATTAAATGTTTCCAATCTTTGTTAAAGAACACTGTGTCTTTTTGTACGATTGGATTTAAACTGTTTTACAAATTCCCAACAACCACTTGATCATTTTATGTCCCAATCCATAACATCATTTACTCTGGTGAGCATAATGTTAAGGTTACGCATTATTTTTAAAGCTGAATATTGAACTATTTTTACATTTTGAAGAAGATTTCAACTCCTTTTCAAATATGTAAATTAAACAATTATGCATTTCTATTTCCTTTCTTTTCTCTCCGTTTTTTGTGTATTCATTGTTACAGGTTAATATTATGCATGTACTTTTGTTTGTCAGCATCTTTAAAATAAATGGGCTAAAAATAATAAGTGTCTAAAAACCTATTTCCCAAAGGCGTAAAGATTCCTGAGTTTTAACTGAGTGTCTTTTTCCTTCACAGAAAAAACTGGAGCAGCTTCTTGTTAAGTTCCCACCTGAAGAAGTGGAGTCCAAAAGATGGCAGAAGATTGCTGATGAGCTGGGCAACCGGACAGCCAAACAGGTGACACTTACGTTAGACAGGAGGGATACATAAGTGTTTCTGAGCTCAGTTGTCATTTTTTTAAATGAAAATCTGCCGTTACTGTTAAAACAATCAGAAGAGAAACCAAAGTTAAGGCATTTTAAAGCTGCAGCTGCTACTTCCTCTGCTGGAGATGATTAATAAATCTGTTTTCCTCATAAAATATCCCAGGTTGCCAGCAGGGTTCAAAAGTACTTCATCAAACTGACAAAAGCTGGTATCCCTGTGCCTGGAAGAACTCCAAACCTCTGCATGTACACTAAAAAGGTAACTGCCAATCAGCCAACAAACCCTTCAGCTATATGAATTATTACTTGAATAAAGGCTAAGGAGTTCATGTGGTTATAATTTATGGAAGCCCAACTCTTTGTTTTCTCTCCTTGATCTTCTACATCTATACATTTAAGTATATTGGTTTTCAGTTTGTTATCTGACCAAAGCGCTTTGATTTGTATTAAATGTCTATTAAGTGTTTATAGGGAATGCAGGAAGATAGAATTTGGAGTAAAGTTCACAATAACTTTCAGTTCATGGAATAATGTCAATTATCAACAGAATCTATACTAAAGCATGTAGTGAAACTATATTATCTA